GGTGGGCCACCATGCCTGAATTCAGCAGGCTAGCTTAGGGATTGTGGGGAAGGCCAAGGGGCACACACTTCTCTCTTCCAACATGTTCCTGCCACCTCTTATCATTTGCCACCTGAGGTAACTCCCAAGGTGCCTAATGGGAGGACCAGCTTGGAGGTTCCAGATGCCACCCCATGTTTTCCTACCCTGTTTTCTGACTCCCCCTCCATATCCTTCCAAGTTACTGTTTTGATTAGCAGTGCTAGGAGGCACCCATCTGGAAGTACTCTAAGAGGCTGGTGTTTCCATGTGAAAATATAACCAGGTTACTCCATTCTATAAGCTATAAGCATAAGCATACCTTTTATCTAATGGAGGATTTATAAATCTTTTTTCTGGTCAGTGACACACACAATGCCATGTTTACTTTGCAAAACTATTTGTTGTGAAAGTAAGAATTATCATAAACAATCCACCTTTTTCTTGCTCAGTTATTGAAAAGAAAGAAAAAAGAAATGAAATAACTGTACTCAAAAGTACTTTTAAGATTCATGAGTAGTGTGACAATTGATGGGAAAGTGTTGACAGCAGATCATATTTATTTTAAAGAAAGGTTCATGTTAAGAGTTGATTTGTTCTCAGCATTTCTAGAGATTAGGTGCAATATCAGGGGTCATTTGGGTTGCTAATTAAATTACACATTGGAAAGTCTTTGGATGCAAACAGGGTTCACAAAAGGTGAAGTGTGTTGTAAGCAGAGAAGCAAGTTTCATTTTGGGACTTTTTTGTTTGTGTGTTTGTCTCGCATGAGGATATTCATGATCCAGACTAGTAGTGATTTCATTATGTTTTAAACCTGGCCTGATTTGCTCTGTTGCTCTGTAATTCTGGCTGCTAGGCAGGGGATCATTTATGTAGGATGTGGTAATGTTTCCCAAGCCTATTTCCTTATTCAGGGCACAAGTGTCTGGATGCTGGTAGCTGCCTGGACAGCCACAGGAAAGGTAGGAATGCCATCACTTTGTCATTGTAGCCAGTTCTTTCCATCCTGGCTGTGCTTCCAAGGTAACATATAGAATATTTGGATGAGCACTCAATGGGGAGAGGTCTGGACGACTGGAAGGAGCAAGGCTCTTCTGGAATACCAGGAATCCTGGTGGTGCCTCTGTTTTTTCCTCCTCATGTGCAAGGATGAAAGTCATGAATGGCTGAAACTGGCTATCTAGATATTTGCAAAACAAGAGAAGCATGGCAATACTTGATTGGTTGCCCATAATGCTCTGAGTTCAGAGGGTTACAGGCAACCAAATTGGATGGTGCCCTTAGTATGCTTTCTTCAGCCACTTTGGCTGACATGGGAGAAGTATACACATGGAAGAGGCTGTGCAAAGTTGTATGAATGATTTCTGCATTCCCAGCACACCCTCTCCATAGAAGTTTCCAGCATTTTTTCCAGTGTTAATGAGGCTCATGCATGTACAGAGTTGACACAAATTGTTGATCTTTCCGAATCAGGGTCAGTTCAAATTGTATGTATCTGCTCTTACAGTTTCCTCAATCTTCCATTGAATGTAATTGACAATTTGCATTCCTGCTTCAGCAATGTTACTGGCAAAGTCATTTGCTTTTACCTCTTTCTCTCTTCTGAGTACAGCAAACAGTGATTCATGGATGGAACTCATGAAGGCCAAGGAGGAAACTCTTCAAGGTCTTACAGTTACAGGCTGAAGTAAAAATAGTGCTGTAATAGATCAAGTTCTTGGATGGGCTTAGTGGAGACAGGACAGTGGGGAGAAGAGGTCATTCCAGCCACAGAAGTGTCCTCGACATCAAATTGCATACCCGATAATGGCAGTGTCTCGCTTTGCTATTACTCTGACAGCTCACTTTTCTGAACAGGAGCTCAGTATGGCTTGTGTGGAAGCACCATCTCATTTTGGCTCTCCAGGGACTTCCTTTTGCTGCTCCTAGAAAGCACAAACCCTACTTCTTAGGGCAAAGCTGAGCCTTCAAGCAGATGGCTTGCAGCAGGATACAGATGGCTTTTTAACCCCACCCACCCAACACGTGGAAGATGTGCAATCTGGAGTGTGAATGTTGAAGTATCCCTTTCCCTGTACCACTGATGTAATCGAATTGGCAGCCTCTCTGAGTGGCTTTCATTTACGATTCCCTCCCACCATCCAATTTTTTTTTCTATTAAACCTTGTGATGTCTAGTTTGGTTCTTAGTTCCTGTACAATTGTATGTATCGTATGCTGCTGCTTTGATCCTGTTTTTGTGAAAACATCAGCCTGGACTGTTTGTAGAATGTAAACTCAGTTTACTAGAATTCAATAACTCTGCTGGTACAACCGAGCTATGATTTTCATTTCTTAAGGCTGAAAATGTAATATTTGGGAATACATTTTGAGTGATATGCTGCAAAATTTGTACAGTAGTGTTTGCTAACATCCCAGTACTACTGCTTTTTGTAGTAAATAGGCTTCTGCTGCAACAAGATTTGAACTGCTGAAAACAATTTGTGTATCTTGGGCATCCTGCTACCTTATGTTTGAAATTAAGTGGCTCTTGGTGTTTGATCTGGCACTTACATTTTTGCTTTCATTATTGCAATGTGGGGTGGGGGAAGGCTCCTGATTTTGCCAAAGTGGACAGCACTGATCACAGGACTGGCGCACTGTGACTCCAACCATATTTTGCTTGTTTCAAGACCTCGTGTTGTACAAAAAGAAACTGGCAGTGCAACCACCCTTCAAATACTCTGTGCCATTTGGTCAAATGCACCTAAAAAGGGCATTGTGGAATTGGAAAAAGAACCCAGAGGTGTGACTGAAATCATGAAAGAGTGGGATAACTCCCCCATCAGGAAATATTGCAATTGCTGTGATTGTTTCTCTTGGTAAAAGGGTGGGTAAGACAAGCCAGGAGGGAGGTGTACAAAACAGAACATAGTATGGAGACATTGGATGGAGGGACATTTTTCTTTTGCTCTTGTATAGAACCTAGTGGGGCTGTCTCATGAAACAACTGCTAGAGAGTCAGAACAGATAAAAGGAAGTTTTTCATGGAGCGGATTGTTAAAGCAGCAAATTCACTTGCACAAAATATAGTGATAGCCACCAATTTGGAGGGCTTTAAAAGGGGGTAAAAGGGAATAAAGCTGTCAGTGCCTACCCTTCCTGATGGGTATATGCAGGCATCTGAAATTAGAGGTAGTCTGCTTATGTATACCATTTCCTGTAGTACTCGTGCTGTGCTTGTGAGTATTCTGCAGGCAGCACTTTGGAACAGTGTGAACAGAATGCTGGATTACAGGGCTCTTTGGTTTGATGCAGAATGGCTCTTCTTTTGTACAACGGGATGATGATGGTGATCTATGAAAACTGCACAGTCCTACATGCAGTAGTGCAATATCCTGAGTTGCACTCCTGCCTACAACTTGTAAAGGACAGCTGCCTCATCCTCTCTAACATGTAATGGATTTTTGGTACATTCTGCTCTGGTGCATAGAGAGTATGGATCTTTAGGTCTTCACTTTTAAAGGTATGCATTTCAAACCACTTGATGATACTGACTGCATATTAACTTGCATTGTGCCTTTCAACCAGTTTAGTGATATTCACCTTGATTGGGCTAAATCCACTTATTTAAACTCTCCAGTTTAGCAAGTTTTGCTAATTTAGCTAAAATGGCTTATATCAGCTGCACCTTAAAAGCAAAATAACAGGCAGAATATATGAATGCAAAATATATACAGGAATCCCCCCCTGCCCCTGCAGAAAGAAGCATGACAACCCATTCATAGAGACTCTTGTTTAATTTCTGCTCATCTCACAATATTTTTTTAAAAGATGGCTTTGTAAATGCTAAATTGCTCTGTCCTATGTTGCAGTCCAGGAATAGATTTGTGCTTCTTGTCAGCTGTCACTCTATTCATTGTTTGCAATTGATTCTTTTTGCAATTTCACTTTCTAATCTGTTCACAGGTTCATTTCAGTTTGCTATCATTCCCAGCTCAATGTGGTTATTTGATTTGTTAAGGTCAAATGACCTATATTCACTGAAGACCTCCTTTTATACTCCTGAGATGCACTTTGTTAAGACCACATCTATGCCAGTTAAGACATTAAAAAAAGCCTACAACTCCCAGCATGCCCCAGTCAGCCACACTGGAGGTTGCATGTCGTTTATTCTGTCAAATTCGCACAGGATGGCACCTTTATTCACTGAAGGCCTCCTTCTCTGTCTCCTGAATGGTGATTTTCCTTAAAGTGTATCCTATTCCAGTTCAGAGAGCAACAAAGGCCTACAACTTCCAGCATGCCCTTTTTAATTTGCCCTCTTACTTTTCACAGGATTGCGCGGCTACTCGGCTGGGGGCGACCTGGTGGACATTTAAGCAAACTTTCCGTTTCAGTGCGGGGTCCGTGCATGCGCCGCTGGCTGGGGTTCTCTGGCGGGGGGAGCGCTTTGTTTTGACTCAGTCCTCCGAAGGCTTTCTCTGCGTCTTCGTGGCCGGTAGGGGTTGTAATCTGCCACAGCCGCTTCCCCGGGGAAGGCCTGGCAAGACGCGCGGCGAGCGGCCGCAGCCCTCCCGACGGACCGCGAGCGCCTCGCGCCACGCCCGTTAAGGCCCCCTCCCCAGGGCGCATGCGCAGGAGAGGTGCGCGCACGCCCCCTTCTTTTTCCCGCCCTTTCCCGTTGCCTTCGGGGCGCGCGGCTCAAACACTCCCCGCTGGAGGGGAGGGAGGGCCTTCTTCCTGCTCCCTCCCCCTCCCACACACGAACACACACCAGAACGGAGCGGACCAGCCAATCAGGCAATAAGGAGCGCGCGCTCCCTTACCCAATAGGTAACAAAGGTAGGCGGGCTTGGGTGGGGAGAGAGACGAGGCGGCGACGCCTTGCTAACAGAGGCGTTCGTGAGAGGGGGCGTGGCTCGGGGCGGCGTGGGCGTGGCTCGGGGCGGCCGCCTATTTAAAGCGTGCCGCTGTGCCGCTGGGGTGCTCAGTCGCGGCTGCGGGCTGGCGCGCCGGTTGTTTTGTTGGGAGTGCGGCTGGTCTTGCTCCTGCGCTTGCTTGGATTGGGGACGCGGGCGCGAGGCTTGGAGGGCGTGACACGGGTGGGTCGCTCCGTGTCTGCGCCGCTTGACCTGTCCCCCCCCCCCCGCGTGAGTCCGCCGCCTGCGCCCCGCTTTCCGTGCCCGCGGGGCTGCTCCTGGCCAGCGAGGATTTATCCATCGGCTCCGCCGGCGGTCGCTGCCGCGCGGCTCCCTCGACTCCGTGCCTGCGTTTCGCGGCGTCTCGTCCGGTCCCCCCCGGGCAGGCGGGCGGGCCATGGAGGAGAAGTACCTGCCGGAGCTGATGGCGGAGAAGGATTCCCTGGATCCGTCCTTTACCCACGCGCTGCGCCTGGTCAACCAAGGTGGGCACGCGCGGCGCGGCTAGCAGAGGCGGCGACTTGCGCGGCGGGTGGGGGGGGGGCTGCGATGCGCCTATCCCCCCTCCATGGATCGGGGCGCAAGCCCCCTACTCTGGGCAGCGGGCTTGCAGCATGCGTGCGAGGCGATCATAGGTCCCCGGAGACAAGGGCGAGTTGGGCTCCGCGGAGGTGCCCGGCAGCCCTTTCGAGCGCGGGAGATCGGGACGCCCCGTGGAGTTGCATGCACTGTTTTGCTCGCCCCGTGTCGTCCTATGTTTCTTTTCCGCCCCTCCTGCATGGCACTTAAGGCGGCTGGCCCCCCTTCTCTCCGTTGTTCACATCGCAACAACCCTGCTGGGTAGGTCAGGCGGAAAGTCGGGGACTGGCCCCACGTCACCCGGTGGGCTTTCTGGCCAAAGAGCATTCCCGAGCCTGGATCCTTTGAACCCGTAACCCAGCGCCCCCTCCACCACGCCACGCAGGCTGGGAAAGCACGGCGGCGCGGGCGGTCCTGCCCCGCGTGTTCTCCTCAAACAGTCCTGCGAGGTAGATCAGGCCGAGCGGCTACAACTGCCCCGAAGACAGTCCATCAGACTTAGAGCCGAGAGGGACGAAGCCTGCTAGGAGTCCTTTGTCGGTCAAGCGAATAGCCTATGGAGCTGGTGGAAGGTTTATCACTTGAAAACCGCCCGTATGGAGGCATGCCTGGAGGTGTTTACTTCTGAGTAAGGCACCATTTGGATCACGTGTGGATGATGGCTTTCACTGAGGCATCTCTCCGTAGCATCCTAGCAGGCTTAGGAGAATTTCACTCCAGCCTTGCTAATCTTGCAGCACCGCGACTGTCTGGACCGGGTCTCCTGGTTCCCCGCCAGACTGCAAATCTGAATGGCTTTCTGTCTAGGGCATTTGTGAGAGGTCGGCTTCTAATTGGAGATCTGGCTGTGTCTCTGTGGTCCCCTGATGGTGCACCCCTCCTGTTTCGGGGTTGGGTACAACTGTGCCGAGCGATCTAACAACAGCGGTTAGCAACAAAGAGTGGAGACAAAAGAGAGGGGTGTTTGTCTGCCTCTCCTGAGAGGTTCCTGGAGGCATCTCGCTGGCCACAGCGGACCATTAATCAATTACAATAGAAGCCGCAAAATGCCACATCTATGAGAACAGGAACGTTTAATCTGAATAGACATATAAATCAGAAAATGCAAACCAGCAAAATTTAAGAATGCATCTCTTTAGTCAGTTTTCTCCCCAGCAGTTAGCAGTGTTGTGGTTCAGGAAACCAGCTGTCAACTTCCTTGCTGCCAGTGCCTGTTGGACTAGACGGACCTTCCGATAGGATTGGGCAAGATTGTTTCCATTATCCTCCAAGACTTGAAAGAATGTTTAGCAGTGTATTCCAGTCAAAACGAGCTAGAGTCCCTAAAACGAGAAGCCTTTAAAGTACTCGGCCACTTCGGAATGCATCAAAAGGGGAGCTGTTTTGTGTGTCAGCCGCACTGCTTCCCCTGGTTGTTTGCATTGTGGTAGCTGAAGAGCCCTGGAGATTGTCCCTGTACTGCTTGCGTGATGGACAGTCTTGCTGAAGATTTGAGGGCGAATTTGGGAAAGACTGCATGGGTGTTGGGGAGAATGGATCCTTTTCATATTGAAGGTGGGTAGGACCTTCAGAAATGGAGGTCAAAAGCATGTGGGGCCCTGTAACACAGCAGCACCCGTCCTGTTCACAAGTATTTTTGTGGGTGGCGGAGCTCCCTGGGTGAGTGTGGAGAGTCCTTCAAGCAAAAGTTCCCTCTGTGGGATTCCCCTTATGGGCTTTCAGCAGAAAGATCTTGCCAGAAAAATGAGGCAAACAAAATGGCACAGAAAGCATTCTAGAAATGGCTTTTGCAAGGGGTAAGCTCCGTGCAGGTAGTTAATCAAAGGCGAGTCCTTTCGATTAATCAGTTCCTACCAGTTGTGGAGTAGATACTGTGCATTTAGGGGAAGCGGGAAAGTAGAGGATTTCTGGAAGTGAGAATGGATAATGGCGAACTGCAGGAGCCAAACTTTATGTATAGGTCTGCCCTTACTCTTGCTCCGGCATGTTTGTTCTGAGTGGACTCCAGCCAAGGGGTGTTTTCTCAGGGGGGAAGGCAGTGAGAAGAGTGCAGAGCCTCAACTGCCATGGGGGGATGGAGGGAGCTTGTGGTGCGGTAGGTGGGGGGGGCACATACGCATTTGGCTGTGGAAAAGCTTTTTTGCTTATTTCCCTGAAGGAGTAGCTTCTGTATAGCTCGGAGGTGATGGGAGTGGAGAACAGGGATGTCGAAGTGTTAGCTGGAGAGAGGCTGATCTCTGGAGACTTGGGATCTAGTGCGCACGGAGGACGACAGGTGCAAGAATTCCCTGGCATTCCTGGTGATGTGGCGATGGCGTCCTCGGGAGCAATCTGAAAGGATGCAGTCAGGGCTATGCACACGAGCTTTATCCGGTCGCTTCAGGCAGTGCTTCATCGTGCTTGCTTCTGATGCTGCGGCTACTTAGCAGAATTTCTCACCATATGAATCAAGTGACAGTCTCTGCAATCTGTTATTCTTTCAGTTCTGGCTAGCCCTCTGGTGGGCAACCAGCTGATGTTTTCCATCACTGGTTGCTGATGCTTTTCATCCCCAGTGGGCCTGATAACAGGAAGACACACCTGCTGCCTTAGGAATCCTTCCTTCTCGTCAGACAGTTGTCTGGGATAGATGCAACCGTCCCTCTCTCTCTGCTTCCCATAGCAGCTCAGAAGATGGGGTGTTGTCCTGGAGTGCTTACATGTCGTACATGGACATCTCTCTTTCCATGCTCTGTTGCTGCTCCATTAGAAGAAACTTGGCTTATCCTCTGGCTTATAACTGGGGAAGAGCTCTTCACTTCTGCTCATCTTGGCCAAGAGGGCATTTAAAGAGTGTACAGAACCAGTGTACTTAAACTGCTGGAGTAAAAAAGCTTTTCAGTGTTTGTTCCATAGCTAAAGGTGGCAGACAAACTCTGTAAGTCTCAATTACCACTTCTTAGAGATTAGAGGAGCTTATATTTAAATTTCTATCTTGTGAGGGACTTGCTTTTTCTAAAATAATAGAATTCCCAGTTCACTCTTTTTTGGGTCAGCTCACAAATCTTGTTTGATTCCCCCCCCCCCTGACCTTGATGCTTCATGTTACATAGACAGTGGCTTTTGTTAGCCGGGAAACCAAGAGCAGCAGATGGGACTACATAGGTATGTTAGCACCTGCCAGAGTGATGTTTTCCTGGTGCTATAGTGTCCATATTAAAACTAATTTGGCAAACTGAGTCAGCAAATGATTCTACTTCTGCAGCTCCTGCTTTAAGGCAGGGCTCAAGGAATCCTCAATAATTGCCTGTTTTAACATTAACAAAAAGCTTTAGTAACCAAGTTTGTGCTCCCCGCAGAAATCTTATGATTGTGCCTTGAAAAGCACCTGCAGCCCTGTTGAACTCAATGGGAATGGCTAGCTAGCTAGTGTGGGATTGCACAATGAAGGACAGGCTTGCATATTAAAAAACTGAAAATCCATGTATAATGACAATATATTTTAGTGGCTCACAAAACTGAATATTTGCATATTTTTTCTAACACCTTTTCAGTAGGAGTTGTCAAAGTTTTCCAGAACAGTACTTTTCCAGTGTGTGTGTGTGTGTGTGAGAGAGAGAGAGAGAGAGAGAGAGAGAGAGAGATTGAACGAACGAACAAGGTCATACTGGGGACTGACCACTAGGTATTTTAATTTTTTAATGTGTGTGGACTTTCTTTCATACAATGAGCTCTGACCACTGCTTGAATATTCAAAATACAGTTCACCATGGCTTACTGAAGCTGTGGTAGTCTGTTTGATCCTACAAACCGGCTGACTGTTTAGCTGTTATGACAGTGTTGCCAGATAGCTTGGTCTTGCCATTTTGTTGGTTGTGACTTATTTAGTTGTAGGCTGTGGTGCAAGCAGCCATTTTGAATATTCAAGCAATGACTGCAGCTTTTTCCGCTGTCGAAATCCAATGGGGGTGGCTTGTGTGAGGCTTAAACTACCCTTCTTAACCCCAGCGCAGGCCATCAGTCATATGAAGGCTGTTTAACCATCATACAACCTACTTCTCTGAGTTGGGATAAAATGACAAGCTGCATTTGAATATTGAAGTTCAGCTTCATCGCATGATCCACAACTCTCTCAGACCATAACTGAACTTAAATAATCAGGTGAACTTGTCAATATCGCCAGAAAGAACGTGTGTGCAGCTCATGTGGCACTGAACTCTGTTTAGTGGGAGCAACAGTGGGGAGAGGGCTATGCCCTTCTCAGAGGCATCTGAGAAGGGTCGGAAGCAGGTGCTGGATTAGAGAAATCTGTGCTAGTCCAGCCCCCTGTGATGTGGGCTGCTGAAACTGCAGAAGGCTATACTTGCCGATCATATTTCTTCCTGAACGGTGGTGGAGCCTCGTTTGAGGGGAGGCTTGAAGGAAGCCTTGGTATGAACTTCTTTACAGGGGGCTGGGATCAGATGTAAGCTGCTCTGGAATTCAAGCACAGGTCTCCTGATTATCTTTGCAAGAGTGCATTCTCATCCTCCTTCCCCAAATATTGAACAGGAAGTATCTTACAGCTCTGAAAACAATATCTGATGTGTAACTCAGACCTGTACATCTTTACTTGTCAGGACACGTGGAGCTTAATAGGACCTAATAATGGGTGAAGACTAATTTGTTTCTACTGGAATCTAACTGCCTTTAAAGGAGTCTACCCTTGAAGGTAGCCTAAATAATTCCAAATAACAAAGTTACAAGGCATGTCTGGAAACAAGATTGCATTAAGAAAAAGGAGCGTTTAGGAATTTCTGAAACTTTTCTCAACAAAAATGGAAGTGTACAGGTTCCAGCTTCGATAAAGATAAGGCATTCGTTCATACACAACACACAACTTAGGGAATTCTTTGCTACAGGAAATGGTAACAGGTAGTCTGCATGG